CGGTTCCGCGGCAGCTCGGCCCAGCCTGAGCGGCAGTTGGAGCGCGCGCCCCGCCACGGTGGGCTGTACAGGCTGGTGACGCCCGGACGACGTGAGACAGGCGGCAGAGCAGCCTCAGGTGGTGCGCCAGCGACGCTGTCTGGGGACAGACACGGACGGCGAGGTGAGCCTGCTCCTCATGCAGCAGATGGCGTTTCCGGCGGATGGGTCTGTCCGAAAATCGCGTGACTGTAAAATGCGAAATGAAAGATGGATGGTCGTCTTGGGAGATAGCAGTGTTTAAATGCGTGCGTTGTCGCCCGGCCATTCTTTTGTGCAGAACTAGCAAGCCGCTGGGTTTTCTATGTCGGACGCCTCACTACTCCAGCTTGACAATGTCCATGGTAGATATTCATCAAAAGCGCAGGACGCACCAAACACGTTATTTAGTGATAAGGGTCTCCATATTTCAATATCTATATCAATATCAGTCCTGAAACGCACCAGACACTATGTCCTAACCATAAATAAGTTTGTCTTCCTATTTCCTACGAAAAATGCATTCCAAATTGTTTGCGTGGCGGTTTTGGGCTCAGACCAATGTGACCAGACCAGACCAGACCAGACCAAATCAGACCAGACTACCCGATGAGCTTACTTTTTGCGTGTACCGTGAACGAATCACCCAAGTCTTTCTGTTCAGTTCAACGGATAATTTTGCCTCCGCCCTCCCGATAGTAGTGCGGGGTGTCCTTTTTCTTATGTTGTCGGCCATGCCAAAATGAACCATGAAAAGTTACTTACTTCCAAAAAATGGGATTCTCCCACCACGAAACCTCTGGCTGGTGGCATCACAGAAGGGGAGAATCGTTTTATTTTCGACTGTTATTCGAGCACGGCAGCTCAGAAGACGGGAAGTTGGCTTTAATAGCGTTTCGAAAATGTACTGCAGGAGGAATCTATTCATGGCAGGCAAAGAAATTATTCTGGGCAGACTGCTTAAATACCGCCCAATAAGGCTACGTGACTGACAGAACCCCCTCCAGTCTGTACTTGCCAAAGTCAGATTCGGGCTGCTGTGCTACGCTGGTATTTATCTGGCAGCAACGCGGAACTCGCCGGTGGGCGTGGTCTCGCTGCTATCCGTTCCACCAGCCCACCAGCTGGGCAAGGGTGCAACAGAGACAACCCACACCTCACGTGGTTTAGTGCGACGTAAACTATGGGTCGGTGGCCTGGAATAGTTGCAATCATGGAAGCATTTTATCCCTCTTGGCTGGTTTGGCCTCTTCGAACCAATAGATTTATGTCCCGCTCTTTGCACAATCCGTCAGGCTTTCGCTTCGGCTAACATAAGTGCGCACGTTAGGCCAGCTTAATTCAGCACGCTTACCATGGTGGTGATTGGTGTTCGCGGGATGGTGGCTCCTGAGCCTATTTCCACCCCGTTCTGATAGGGCTGGGTCGTTCGAGGTCATCACTGTTCTAATATTTCCTGTTTTGTGTATTGTATTCTTATGCATAGTTGTGCCCTTCATTTTTGGTCATGCAAATTACCTAAATCACTGCGCTCCATTTTTTCGCTCTGCTTTTGCATGAACAAATTATTAGTACACGGATCAACATTTAATCATTCGCTGTTTACGCTGTATTGGCGTCTCTTTCAACAAACGTGAGCAGACGGGTGAGCAGCGGCAAACGCCGTCACGTCATGTCTGACCTCCGAGCTGCAGGACAGACGCGGCGAGCAGATCGGCGAGCAGCAGCAGACGCCGTGTCGTCATGGGGTCCTCTCACCGAGGCACGCTCCAGCTGGCGTTCACAGTCCTCAGCGTGGTCGTCTTCGCTGTGGTGCTGTTCTTCAACTTCGCGGCCGGCTCCACGTCTCTAGGCAAGGCTCTACTGAAGACTGTAGGCGTGTTTTCGTCGAGGACGTTGGCAGTGATTTTGCTGTAGAACCCTTACGACAAGACGAGAGGACGAACGGCCACCAGCCGTTGAAGTGGCGGAGGTGCAATCCAGGCCACTACCAATGCACGACAGTGGGAACCGTCCCATCAAAGTCAAACACGCTTGACTATCCCTCGCGTCACTGTTTTAGTTGCATGTCCCTCCACTCGCCCTGTGTGACTCCATCCCGCACGATGCCAGGCATTTTCAACCAATCAACGGGTAACGTGTCGGACAAGTACCAAGTGTTCCTTACGCCACCTGGCTGGACTTTCATCATATGGGGCGTCATCTACAGCTGGATGGCCGTCGCTCTCATCTACGGTCAGTGGAGCAGGCAAAGACTCGGGGGAGAGGGAGCGATGAAGAGGGGCTGAATGGGGAAGGGGAGAGGTAGGGAAGGGGAGAGACGAGGAAGGGGAGAGATGAAAGAGCGAGAGGGGAGATCAAGGTGGCAAGAGAGGTAAGGTAGTGAAGTGGGGAAGTGAGGGAATTGGAGAGTAGAGAGGGCGGAGATAAAAGCGGAATAGTCGAGCCTTTGTCAGAGCCCGCATATGACTGCAGAACATGTGTGAATGCGTCAGGTGTATTACCCACGTGAATGGGAACACCTTCACGATGCGCTGGTGTGTGGAACCAGCCGTCAACATGGTGCATTATCTGCAGATCAGGTTGATGTACGCTCCATGAGTTTATGCCTGGAGAAACAATGTCACTATTAGATGAGGTTGGAAGCTGTCATGTATTACAAGTATTGACTTGATTGTATCGTATTTGTATAATCATGCAATTGCATGGTCATCCTCTTGATTTACAAAGACTGTGCTGCCCGTTAGCGCGATGTGCAGTTTCTTTCAAGGGGTATGCATATCCTGTAAAATAAAACTGTGTAATTTACTCCGCTGCTCAGCGATCGTTAAATGAAGGCGACTGAGTTCGTACCTAAATTGGTAACAAATTCCTACAAATCTGAAATCGCGTTGCATGCATGCACTAAGCGATATTTTTGCCACTTTGATGTCAACCTTGAGAATCCGGCTAAATCACCTTGGTGTATTATTCAGTTGGTGTGAGTTCTCCAGGATGTATAAAACATATCGCAACATGCAAGAAAAAATTGGTGTCTTTCATTTGGGAGTTATCGCCAAGGTCGATGCAATGGCGATTAATGACTGACCGGAACGTAGAAAAGATGAGAAAATGACGAAAGCTGAGCAGAGTGGATCCCTGTATCAGTTGATTGATTGCCCTCTTCGTGAAGACGGCCTATGACTGAAAGTCTGCTACATTGTCCTTATCTCTACTCTGCTTTCGTCATTGCCGCTTCGTGTTATCTACGTTCAGATGAGGCATTTATCTCCTTCAAATATGGCTAAACGGTCACTATCAACTCGAATGGGCCATTTGGGAGCGTTGTATCAATCCAAGTTTAGGTAGCCACTTGTTCCTCGTGTTATGTAACGATTGATGTCAGTCGTATGCTCACATTAATTAACCTTCCTGGGACTGATAGCTTCGTGGGCACAAAATAGCCGTAATGTCGACGCGCTCTTGAGCACCAAACACATATAATAATGATAGCAGGCCATTATGTTGACTTTGATGCAGCGACTCTTTGAAACGTGAACACGGTGAGCGTGTTCATTTGGAAAATTATGAAATGTGTAGTGCCCGCAGCCCAAGTTCCTTTTCGATGTAAGCCTTAGTAACCAAGTCGTGCTAAATATGAAACTGCTAATGCTCGCAATCAGGCAGTTTCAGTTAACCTTCGCAGTTTCTCATTGGTCTTATTATTTTCATTTTCCATTTCACTTTAATTTCATCGTGGTGATAAAACCAATCAGCCATTTATTTTAATTGAATCCATGCCAGTTACAGAAAACATGCATGCTATCAAATCATGAATTGTTGCCATGCACATTCTATCGTTCATTGGGTGGTAGTGATTCAGTCAAATGCATCCACCATTTCAGTCATCTGCCCCGATGGTGCAGTTGGGTAGAAAGCCTGCCTTTCGACCCACCCGCCCTTGGCGGGTTGGGGTGGAGCCGTTTTTGGCGTTCACTATTTGACCTGGACAGTGTGGCCTGCAGGCGGTGGAAGCGGTGACGTCAGAGAGCGGAAGGGAGGGGCCGAGCAATGCGGCGCGGTAAACTTTCGCTACGAAGTTGTTCCGTTGCCCTGGAATTGCGCGATCGGACGGTAGGGGTCTCAAATAATAAGCTTTGCTTAACGTGAGCTCTGATTGAGCCTAGATTACGTGAGGCCCGAAATCAATCCTTGCAAAGTATTTGGATTACATATTTTAAAAATGACTACATTTATGTGCTATTAGTTCCCGGTCACCGTAGAAATGGCGAAAATGGGGCGTGCGATAGCAGCTCCTTATTCTCAGCAGCGGCGTGTTTGCGACGCGACGAGAGTATATTTGTCCTGATGACTTCCTTTTAGAACGCGAATGTAAATCGATAATGTGAACCCGATTAGTTGAAGCTGTTCGTGCTGAAATTGACATATTTCATATGCCAGTTCGGCGCGCTGATAATTTTCCCCACGATCTGCCAGTGGTGCCGTCCGAAACAACAGATGCATTTTAACGCTCCATTTTGCGATCATGTGTGTAACATTCTTACCATCGGTGATCAGCGATTCTCAGCATCCATATGCTCGCGGTTTTGTCCTGTCGCTTTCCTATTCGAGATCCGTGATGTCGCCTCGGTGCGTGTAACCCTGAACGCTACTCGTTACCTGGCTTTCCCACAGCTCATATTCTCATTTTATGTGCGTGTGGATTGCACAGTATTTACCACACGTTTCACTCACGCGTTCATAAAGGATCTGGCCGTACCTTAACTTGCTTGAGCCTTACATAACCGTGCATGAGCCTTACATAACCGTGCACGAGCCTTACATAATCGTGCATGAGCCTTACATAACCATGCGTGAGCCTTATAGAACCCAGCATGAGCCTTAAACAACAGAGGATGAGCCTCACATAGGGAACATGACCCTTACATAACCGTGCATTAACATCATAAAACCGAGCATGAGCCTTAAATAGCCGAGCATGAGCCCACATAGCCGAGCATGAGCCTTACATTTACGTGCATGAGCCTTACGTAACCGAGCGTCAGCTTTACATAACCGTGCATTAACATCATATAACCGAGCATGAGCCTTAAATAGCCGAGCATGAGCCTTACATGTACGTGCATGAGCCTTACGTAACCGAGCGTCAGCTTTACATAACCGTGCATGATCCTTATATAATTAAACCATCGCAAGGACCACGAGCGCGTCAAAAGGCCTCAAAATTGGCCGCCCTATCTGATAGCAGGCCCGATAGCGTCGCACCAGCCGGCGGGTCCGTGGCTATCGTGTTTGCGAGGCAATACGGCCCGCCCCTGCCAAAAGCGCCGCGGGCGCGATCCCCGTCTGTCTGTGGAAATACGACATGGGCATGTACTGCCGGTCGAACGGCGGCCTGGCACAACTGCTGCAGTGACGTCACGGATGACGCTGCAGTGACGTCACGAATGACGCTGCAGTGGCAACACTGATGTGTCACTGACAGTACTGTAGTGCCGACACTGACGCGTCACGGAAAACACAAAAACAGTTCTTTTGCTCAAAGGGACACTTACCGCAGGGCAAGGTCGGCGGGGTCGGCAAGGTCGGCAGGGTCGCGTTCTTATGAGACGATCACACTGGTAACCAGCCTTTACTCTATGTGTCCCCTCAGTCGTCAACATGCTTTTTGAGAAGGCTGCACCACTTCGTTTTCAGTTTTAGGTAGAGGTACTTCATATCGCTGTGCACAAATGCTGTCCATATAGACATTCGTTTGCAGGTGGCAGGCCAAGCTGTTTTGAATAAAGCCGCTGTTGCGTCTCGTCGGTAGACGAGGGCCGTTTTCGTTGATCATAGCCAGCCGTTTTACTTACGGGCTCTGGAGTGGGTTACAGCTCATTATAAGCTTCGCACGTAATTGCAGCTTCGCGTCGGATTGCGATTTCTATGTAAGCGCGAATGTGATGCAATGCATTGGGCACATGCAAGTGCAAATTGCAGCGGATTGCGTCCCCTGCATCAAAACGACGTTTGAATCGACAAAAAATTGTCCGGGATGCAAATTAAATCGACCCAATTCCGAAGAAATCAGGTTTTGAGGAACAGGTTACGCCAGCCCCGGCGGCTGAGCCCCTTCCCTTCCTTCCTAAGCGTTTTTCGAAAGTGGCAGCTCTGCTCGGGAGTTCCACTGAGCACCACCGCACGGGGCTGCTGTATTGACAGTTGCATGGGGTCCTGTAGAGCCACACGGTACCCCGTGCTGCGGCACGCGTTAGCCTTAAGCCCCGCCGCCCTCCTCACACGCGCCTGCCTCTGTTGTTGGCAGCGCTGAGCCAGCTGTGTAGGCGGACGGCGGCCGGCCCGGTCTACCTCAACCCGGCCACGCTCACCTCGCCCTTCTGGTTCTTCTTCATCGTCAACCAGGCGCTCAACGTCGGCTGGCTCTTCATCTGGGACCGGGAGCTGCTGACGGCGTCCGCCGTGGTCCTCTGCATCGTGATGATCACCAACTGGCTGGTGATGCTCATCCTCCACAGAAGGTATGGACAAAATGGCCCCGCAGTCGGTAGTGGTGAAGATAAGGGGTGCCTGCTCGCGACCGTCGATTCCGCGAGGGGGGGGGGGGAGCGGAGGGTCGGGTGGACGTTTGACTGTGCCCCACATCCCATACAGTTGGGTCTGCGTGACAGAACAGAAATTACGGATACAGGTGCCAGACGGAGCAAGCTCGGTGTTCAGCCGATGTGCGGGCGTGAAGCCGAGTATCTCGAGTCAAAGTTCGTGTGCGGCCGACTGCGACTAAGTCTTTAGTCTATGCTGGAGATATATTAGCATGGACATTTAGTCTATGCTAAAGACATGTTCGGCAGTGTGATTGGGATGTTTCATCATACGATGCATTGTAATTTGGATCCTATTCGGCCTCTTTGTCGGTATTAGTGGCACGTTTTCATTGTGTCCCCCGCTGGTGTCGTGCAACTGTTTCGACCTGCATTCCCTAAAACACACACCTGAATTCATGCGTAACCGCCAGTGCTGTGGCGCTGCGCAACTCCCCCTCCCCCTCCCCGTGGCAACGAGCCCGGTCAGCGGCCGCCTGACGGGCGCCTCTTTTTGCGCTGCTGCAGCCTGTACCTGTGCCGGGTGTCGCCCGAGCCGCCGACGCCGCGCGAGGTGTGGCTGCTGCGCCTCTGCGTGCACAACGGCCTGGCCGTGTACACCACCTGGACCACAGTGGCCGCTCTGATCTCCATCGACGTGGCACTCGTCTACGTGGGCGAGGTACGCGTGCGGTGGGACGACGCGAGCTCGTCGGAAGCCGCTGCCCCTCGGCTGGCAGTCCCGCCTGCTGGAACAGCCGTCTCCCACCGCGAGGGGCGCCTGCCGCATCCGCGTGGCGGCGAGGAACGTGACCTACGCTAATCCGGCTGGCTGGTGACTATGTAATGCACGCGCCTCACAGTGTGCTTTGTTTTGTAGCTGTGAAGGTCGCCTGCGTCACTTTTCGACGGTTGTCCGTCGCTTGAAACGGGATGTGGGCTGGGCAGAGGATTCTTCAGAGAGATGGCACGTGTAAACGTACTTTGTACCTGCAATTGTGCCTCCCTCTGTACCCACGTACATGCATGCATCTACACAGCACACACGACAGTTACGGTCATCGCACGCTTGACATAGGTCGTACTCAATGAAATTGGGGTCAGCCGTCGCCATTATCAGGACCACTCGTCTGCGTCTATTGCGAGCGCTGCTACTCTCGGAGGCTCAGAGGGCCCTCACGCTCTTCCATCGCCATATGGGCGCGCGCTGGCGAGGTGCGATACCGCAGGTGTGTTTGTCCAGCGACGGACCGGGCCGCGGAGGGCGTCAGGGTCGACCCAAGGTCGGCCGCCGGGGTCGGCCGTGCACACGCTAGTGACGTCACTGGCGGCGGGATCAAACGCGCCGCGGCGGCGGTGGGCGACGCTTGCTCTCGTCCCGGCGCAACGCGGCCGAAGCTGACGTCCGGGAGACAAGACGACGGGGTGCGGTAGATGAGTTCTCACACTAGCCTCATGACACGAAATGAAAGGGATAGAGGTGGCGACAGACGGCGAAGTCCCGCGCCTGACCGAGGGTGGAGCAGTGCTCTCCCTCCGGCCCATCGCGTGCGGGACTTCAGGGATCGTGGCATCATGCTTAAACAGAAGCAGTAAGCGTGCGGCTTCCGTTCGCTTTCCTGGCGAGAGTTGCTGGGCGCTGGCGCGCTCTTGACATCAGCTGAGGACAGAGCCAGCGCGTGGGTGTATGCGCCCTCTCGCCGTTCTTGTTGCTGGGAGTCTTACATTCTTTCTCTCGTCGCAGCAGCGGAGAACTACTGCGGTCTTTCGTCGGATTTCAATGCGATGTGGTTTGCTGGGAGTCATCCTTGATGTCGGCGATTGCGGCAGGATGCACAGAGCATTAGGGTTTCGGTGCGTGTGTCCCACTTCTTACCGCTCTCATCAACACCGCAGTTCAGAAAAGATCTATGAAAGAGATCTATGCAGAAAAGATCTGCGAGAAAAAGTCTCTGCAGACTAGATGAGCTCCAGCCTAACTCGATCCAGCCTAGACTGACAGTGTTGGTCGGTTTTCCGTGCTACACACCAGCCAGTGCTGCCGCTTCGCCGCCACACCGTCCGCCGACGGCTGCGCAGTGACGGCCGGGGCGCTCGTGTACGCTGCGTACATGACTCAGGCGCCGCTGCCCGCAGGCATCTGACGAGCTGGTGACCTCGCTGCTGGCCGGACTGCTGGCCGCCGGCGCGCTGGCCTGGCTGCTGCTGGAGCTGACCGTGCTGGACAAGTACACCCGCTGGACCATCAGCCCCGGCTTCGGTGAGCACTGTGACGAGCAGGCGCGTGGACACGGCCCACAGAGGCCAGCAGCCCATTGTATGTCCGCTGCCGTGGGCGTGGATTGTGAGCGTGCTGCGGGGTGGGCCCAGTGAAGATTGCCTTTACTGGTCTTTGAAGGAACAGTTAAAGTTGGGCCTTGGGCTGCATTTTGCCTCCATGGGGAGCGACCTGGGAGGAGACGCGTCCTCCATACGCGACAAAAATACTCAAACGGCTATCACGCTGACGCTGTTTCGGAGAAGCCGGATGTGACGACAGTCCGCGCTCGCCCCCGTATCGGAAGCGATCGTGAAATGCGCAAATAGCCGATATGCTTGGTGCGTACGGCGTCCTTTACACTGAGTCACCACCATCCCATGGCAGCATACGCCGAACGTGTCCGCCGATACTCTGACATTCTTGGGGAGGAATGATCGCGTCCTTTTTTTTCAAGCAGCGCCATGGGACCACTGTCAGCCTGTCCACCTATGAGCACAATGCTCCACTGCTCCCCTCCCCCCCCCCCCCCTCCACTGACCCGCCACTCCCGCCTGTCGCGCGCCGCTGGCCGCGCGTCTGGAGTCGACTGACCGCCCTGCGCCGCAGCGCTGCTCTGGGCGCTGACTGGCGTGTTTCAGAACAACTACTGGCGAGCCCCAGGCAGCACGCCGGCAATGGTGGCCACGGCGCTGGGCGTGGCGTGCGTCACGCTGGCCGTGCGGCTGGCCGTGCTGGGCGTGCGCGTGCTGCGCGAGCGTGGCCGGGGCCAGATGACCGTCTCCCTGCACAAGATGTCCTCGCGCTAGTGCAGCCCGACCAGCCGGCCACGGCGCCGGGCTCGTCCCCGTCCGCCACGGCGCCGGTCAGAGGAGCGACGCCGGCTGGGTAGCGCGTGATGTACGTGTTTGTCCTCCGAAGTGTCCCGACCGCGTCTACGGACCCGCCGACCGCGCCGGGGTCAGCCCCCCGCCCATGGAGCGTCCGGTGGCTCAGTCACGCTCCCCCTGACTGGCGAGCGAGGAGCCCGGGCGGCGGATCCAGCCGTGGCGAGAGGGCGCGGAGGGGCGGCCGCAGCGAACCGTCGGGTCGGGGCTTCTCTCCGCGGGGGTCGGCTGGAACGCGCCGTCCCCCGTGCTTCGCTTATGTTCCTCAGACACGGGGAACAGCCCTCGGGCCACAAATCGCCGAATCCGGAGCTACATTGCTGATGTAAAAACGCCTAATTGACACGGCCGCCCCCTGTTAAGTCCCTGGCAAGATGAGGCGGACGCCACATGCCATGCCATCGCCAAAGGATGGGAGCGGCGCCGCATGTCCCCGCCTCCCGACACAGCCGGCAGGGCGTCACGTTGTGTCGCCGGGCGATCCTGTGTCGTCCGGCCGGGCAGGGTTTAGCGTCTCGTTGCTGACAGACTCGCGAGGGTCAGATGAGGCCAGCCCCTGGACATCGTTCGCCAGTGAAACCCGCCTTGTAACCTGTACGATATCTGCGGCGTTGGAGATGGATTTACAGCTTATAAATACAAAACACGAAACACGCATCGTCTGAGTTGGCACTTGAGCCTGCTACCATCTTTTATTCGCGATAATCACATGGCTGTCAAACTGACAGTGACAATTGCCGGTGAGCCCACCGCTGTGCAACCTTAGGCGCATTCTTAAGTCAAGACAGGTTCAGGAAACAGCACGTTCTCTTGGGGACCTTCGGTGTCTCAAGTGCGTATTCTTGGAATCCGCCGAGCGCACGCAACCACAAAGCATGGCAATGCATGAAGCATGGCACGCCCACATTAGCGGGCATTTCACTACAGAAAATACAAATGTTAGACAGGCGAACGCCAGCCAAAGGCCCAGTGACAGCCGCGAAGCATCCCCAGGCCGCTATTTACAGCCGACGAACGTACGCCGTCGAAGGCGGGCGGCAAGAAGCCCGACCGGCCAGGGGCGCAGAGAGCGAGGCTCACGAGTCCGCGCGTCTCCCGCACACAGTGGCCAGCCAGTCAAGCAGCGTGCGTCCCTAGGCGCGCTCTCCGGGTCCAGCCGTCGCCACTAGTTCCTGACGTCAGCGTCCGGGCCAGATGTTCCGGCTCGCTCCCCCCCCCCCCCCCCCCGCCCTATCCATCCAGGCCTCCCGCTGCACCGCCGTCGCCTAGTCGACCTGATCAGCAGCCGTTGGGACAGGGCGTCCCGGCGCCGTCCGCGGCCACCGCCGTCTTCCGGCCGGCCGCCGCCTCGGCCGGCGGCGCGGCGCTGCTCTGACCGTTGACGGGCGCCGGCACGCCACTGCCGGCCGACGTGCCGTCCCCGCCCTGCTGCCGGCTGGACGCGCCGCTGTCGCTGCCCTCGAGCGGAGCGGGGGCGCCGGACGGCGACGACTTGCGGTCCGGCGACTGCTCGGCCGAGTCCGATCCGGAGCTGCCTCCCGACTCCAGGGCGTCCTCACTGTCGCCTGTCCCCTGTCGACGCGTGCGGCTTCTGGTCGGCGGCGTCCTCCCACTGCTGCGCATCTTGATCGGAGTCATCAGACTTCTCCAGGTCGTCTTCGTCACCACGCCTCTCCAGTTTGTCGTCCAGGGGAGCGCCCTCGGGCTGGCCGGACTCCTCTCCGGCGGAGCTCGTCCGGCCCGAAGTCGCTCCCGACCGTGTTTCATCACTGCCATCAGGCTCCGCCGACTCTTGCGGCTGCTGGTAAGCGGATGCTTTTGATTCTCCAGACTCCTCATCGCCATTTGACGACCCCCGTCCCTCCTGCTTCGAGTCATCATTCGACGTCTCTGACTCCTGGTCTGAGCTGTCTCGGGTCTTTTGCAGCTCCTGATCCACAGGCTCCTCAGACTCCTCGGGTTCATGGTGGTCGTCATCGTCCGACGCTCCCGTCTGCTGATCCGCCTCCTGATAGACCGTCTTCGGTTCGCCGCCGTTCTCGTCCCCGCCCTCCCGTTCGGCGTGCTGCTCGAGCCTGCGCTCCTCCCGCTTGACGGCGGCCTCCTCCCCGGCCGCGACCACAGGCTCCTCCTCCTCCACCTCCAGCGGCACGCCCCGCTCCTGCAGCAGACGCGTCACGGCCTGGCCGTCCAGGCGGAGGTGCGCCACCAGCTGTCCGTCGCCGTCCTCCGCGAGCCGGCCCTCCAGCGTGTGACCCGCCGCCGAAATGATCTCGGCGAAGGCGGCGGAACCCTCCTGATCCCAGTCGGCGTCGGCCGGCCGCGCCGGCAGCCGGCAGCGCAGCGCCACCGCCGGCTGACGTAGCGTCGCCGGCGCCGCTGCCCGCACCGCCGCCGCCGCCACTGTCTGGCCATAGTCGACGTAGCGAACGCGCACGGCGCCGTCGGCGGCCACGGCCTCGACGCGCGCGCGGTGCCAGCCGTCCTCGTCAGCGGCGCAGGCGACGCACAGGTCACCAACGCAGGGAGCGGCGAGCGGCGGCGCGGCCGGCTCGCGGCCCTCGTACAGCTCGCTCAGCAGGTCCATCAGCTCGTCGAGCGCCGACAGCGCGCTGCGCCGCTGCACGAAGAAGCAGCCGGGCGACTCCACGCAGGAGACGAGCAGCTCCAGCGCCTGGCCCAACGGCGGCGCCGGCGCCGGCAGCCGCGGCGCCTGGCGCGGCTGGCACAGCCCGGCCGCCAGCAGGACCTCGGCCGCGTCGCCGACAGCTAGCGTCAGCCGCACCCTGCTGACGGCTCCAGCCGCCAGCAGGTACAGCGTGGCCGGCTCCTCCTGCTGCTCGGTCAGCTCGCGTAGCCGCTGGGCCGCGCCGTCGGCGCACGCCTCCACGTCCAGCTGGCAGGGGCGCGCCTGCGCCGGCAGCGCCGCCAGCGCGGAGTCCAGTTCCCGCAGCTCGGCCGTCGCCACCGCCTCGCCGTTGCCGTAGTCGACGAACAGCACGTCGGCGCGGTCGCCACGGACGGCGAGCAGGCGGGCGCGATAGGGCGCACCGTCCTCCGAGAACGGTGCCGCCACCAGCTGGCCGGGCGCGGCGGCCGGCGGCGGCGCGGCCGATCCAAACTCGGCCGCCAGCCGCTCCATCAGCTCGTCCAGCGGCGCCGTGTCGGCCGGCTGCACGTAAAACTCCAGTGGCGAGGTCACGTGAGAGACGAACACCGCCTGCTCGGCCGCGATGTCCCACACCGGAGCCAGCCCGGCCGACACCGAGGACTGCTCATCACTCGGCTGGGCCTGCTCTCCCGCCGCGGGCGGCGCCTCGGGCGCCGGCTCGGCGGCTGCCGGCGGAGCCGCCGACACCGTCGAGGCCGCAGCCGGCGACGCCGGCTCCTCCACCGGCACCGTGCCGAAGCCGGCGCCGACCATGGCGAACGCCACGTCCTGCTGACCGTCGTACAGGTTGACGAGCGCCGGGTCGCCCGGCCGCACCAGCTCCAGCTTGAGCGTTTTCTCGTCGGCGCCGCCGATGCCCACCAGCGCCGAGAACGCGTCGACGGCAGCGTCGGGCCAGACCTGCGGCGCCAGCGGCAGCGCGCAGCGGAATGCCAGCGGCGGCACGGCGGCCAGCGCCGCTGGGCACGCCCACACCTCGGTCGCAGGCACCGACTCCGTGTTGCCGTAGTCCACGAATAGCACAGAGAGGGCGTCGGCCGCTGCGCTGAGCACGCGCGCCCGGTACAGCGCGCCGTCCTCAGTGTAGCGCGCCACCACCAGGTGTCCGGCGGCGGGTGCGGCGGCCGGCGCCAGCTGCGCCGCCTCCAGGCGCGCCATGAGCGCGTCCAGCGCGGCCGTGTCGTCGCTCAGCTGCGCCCAGAAGTCGGTCGGGCTGAGCGCGAACACCACGGCGCCGTCCAGCAGCCGCGCCGCCTGCAGCCGGGCCAGACCGGCCGGGCCGGCCGTCGGCTCCGGCTCCGGCGCCGGCGGCTCCTGCGCGGCCGGCGGCAGGGCGCGGCCGGCCGCCACCAGCGCCGCGCCCACGTCCGTCTCGCCGTCCATCAGGCGGACAGTCCAGCGCTCGGCGGCCGGCTCAGACAGTCGCTCCAGCGTCAGCTGCTTCTCCAGCGTGCCGGCCAGCTGCTCGAAGGCGGCGGTGTCGGCCGCGCTCCAGCCGCCGTCGGCCGCCGGCCGCTCTGGCAGCCGGCACAGCTGCGCCAGCCGCGCCGGCGCCAGCAGCGGCGGCGTCAGGCGGCGGCATGAAGCGCGCGCCGCCGTCTCGCAGTTGCCGTAGTCGATGAACTGCAGGTGGCAGGTGTCGCCAGCCGCGTCCACCGTTAGCACGCGCGCCCGGTAGAAGGCGCCGTCCTCGGAGAACGGGGCGGCCACCAGGTCACCCGGCTGTACCTGTCGACACATGGGAAAGTCGCAGCTCAGGTCATCGGCATAGGTCAGACACAGATGTCCACAACTCCAGGCAGACAATCAGACGTGATTTCGGCGTCCTGATCAGTGTTAAGTTGATCAGTTGGTGAGACGATCAGTGTTCCGGTCGATTCAGACTGATTTAGGATGATTCACTGAGCTGAAGGCTAGACTGCGAATAATTCGCAAGACGACTGGAAGCAATGTCGCGAAGACATGATCAAGCTCATCAGCTGTCCTGGTCAATCGATTTGGTTAAATGCTACACCGCGATTATTTGCACAGGAACTGGGAGCAATGTCAAGGATCCATCATGGCCCCGATCCGTTATCATGGGGACCGGCCCCAAGTGCACCCTTGAGCCAACAACGAAACTGCGGCCTACATTCTCCTGACCGATCTCTACTGAACCCTGTCAGCCGGCGCGCGGGTCCTGGTGACTCCCGAGGAGCCCCAAGATCTCTGCCACGGCCCCGGCGCCGGGGCGTCTCGCTGCTCGAGACTGACCTCAGCCAGCACGCGCTCGTCGGCCGCCAGCTGACTGTACTCCGCATCCAGCTGCGCCATCACATCGTCCAGCTGCTGGGCGGCCGGGTCCGCCGCGTCCTGCACGTAAAACTCGTGCGGCGAGACGGCGTAGGAGACGGTCACGCGCTCAAACGGCGCCGCCGCCGCCGCCGAAGGCGCGGTAGTCGCCGGGCTCTGCTTGGCCGGCGACGCGGGGCTGGCCTGCTTGGTCGGGCTGGGTGTGCGCGCCGCGGCCGGCGCGTCGGGCCGCGCGCCCAGCTCTAAGTTAATGTTGACGTCGCCATCTAGCAGGGTGACGCTGAGCGAGGAGGGCAGCACCCGGTCCACCAGCGCCGTCAGCTCCTGCCGAGGAATGGGCAGGGGGCGGGATCAGGACAAGCGCACACAGCTGACTTCCAGTCACTGAGGGCCACCTTACTCGGTCAGGAAGGTCGTGGAACCTCCGGTGTTATTAGCAAAAAAACAAAACAAACAAACTTGACGCCATGGCAAGATGAAATCGGCTTGTGGAGACGAAGCATGGGTGAGATCACCAGCTTATTGTTTTCTATGAAGGGCTACGCAACACTCTACCACGCATTCAGCGTTGAAAATAGTAACAGTGAGAACAAACCACTCCATTATAAAAAAGGCACTTAATGCTTGGGCGTTTAATGGCGCTGTAAAAGAGGTGCTCCAGCATAAGCTCTAAGACTACAATTGCCATAAAAAACAAAAACAAAACAGTGCGCTCCAACCATATTCTGAGTAGATCCGATTCGTATTTTAATTCGATACAGCTTCTCTTTCATATCAGAGACATGAGCAAAACTGGTAAGTTTTCAAAGACGCACTGAAAGCACAACAATACACTTCTGCAAAAGTGGTTCAGGGGGATCAAAACCGGTTCGTCGGCCGGATCGAGCGCCGCGCGCGCAATGTCGGCGTACCATCTGGTCGACGCGGGCCGTCAGCTCTTGGGCACAGCGGGCCGGAAGGCCGGTCACGCTGCAGAGGACGGCCTGCGCCGGCAGGTCCACCAGCGGCACCGGACACTCCAGCAGCTGCCCGGCACACAGAGCGAGCACCGGCTACAGACCACCACACACGATCCGTACGGAGGTGACAGACGGGTCAGCCAGGTTTAACCATGTACGGGACGCACGGCTCACGGAGATCACTTTGCTAGACTTTTCAACCTGCGGCGCCTAGGCTGCACGCCAGCGCGAGCAGGCGCTGGGGGTTCCGCCTCATCAGCAGGCCCCTCCAGCCCGGCCACCGCGTCAGCAGCCCGTCCCTGCCCGGCCGCCGCGTCAGCAGCCGTCCCTGCTCGGCCGCCGCGTCAGCAGCCGTCCCTGCTCGGCCGCGGCGCCCACCTGGTCGCTGGGCATGCGCTCCGTGTTGCCGTAGTCGACGAAGTAGACGGTGGCCAGCTGGCCTTCCACACCGGTGATGACGCCGCGGTAGTAGACGTCCTCGAACGGCGCCAGACAGATCTCGCCGGCCGCCACGTCCGGGCACGGGATCTGCCGGCGGCCGGCGGTATGTCACGCGGCTGGTGGCCGCTCACGGAGGGGGGGGGGGGCAGGGGTGCCGGCAAGACAACGGACACAGGCCACCGATCACATGGTGCTAGATGAGGCCTACCGGCTTCACCAAACATCGCGACATTTCGGGCCCAAGCCGGGATGACGCGTCTGACAAACGTCAGGCTCTACCACGCACCAAACCGGGGCACAAGGTCGGCCGAGTCGGGGGAGGGGGGGGGGGGGGGGGCGGATGTCGCGGCCAAAGAAGATAACGTGCGCAGAACAACACACATACCCAGCCGAATCTGCGTCCTGCAGGAACGTCCGCGTTATACCGAGAGTAGCGAGGGCCTTAACCCTGGAACCCGAGCTGCGAAGCTCGACCTTGCACTAGCCGGTACCGCGCCGGAAGTTCGGAAGTCTGTCGTGGATCTGATCGAGCCGGGGACTACGCACCTGGCAGCCGGTAGTGGAGGCCTCGATGTCGGCGGCCATCTGCTCGATCTCGGCCGTGTTCTCGCTCAGCTGCACGAACAGCCGGTCTGTGGCGACCACGTAGGCCACGAACACGGCCACGCGCTCGCCGGCGGCGAAAGGCCGCTCCAGCGCCGGGAACGGCCCGATGTCTGCCGCGCCGGCGAGTGTGAGGCGGCCAGTGTCATGACGTGACATACATCACATGACAGACGGCGCGACACGCGGCGGGCCGGGCGGTGTGGGCGCAACCAAGTACAATGCACATACAAGATGGAATACTGTGAAAGGCAGCTGGAATCGACTGCTTTGATGCCTGGAAAAGCACACAAAAACAGAACAAAACAACACCGCGAGCTGGATCAATGCAAAAGTATACTGTGACACAACTAACACAAAGGCTGCACCAAAATCACACCGAACACCTTAACACGTCGATAGGCAAGAGTAACTTCATTGCTAAATAAATGAATACAAGTATGGACGCCTTAGTTCAAAGCACCATGCCCAGTTGATAGCTCGAAGGAAATGGCTGCCGACAGGCCGCTACCAAGCCGGTCACAGTGTCAGATACAGTCTGGTGTCGCTCGGCTCGGCGCAGCAGCTCACTGGACTGTTGGACGGCGCGGGCGGCGGCCGGTCGCTCGGCCAGCCCGTTGGCCACCAGCTGATCGGAGACGCGCGGGCCGCCGGAAGCCAGCGTCACCTCCACGGACGAGAGCGAGCCCTCGGAGCTGAGGCACGTCACCTGACACACGACACACGAGACCGGGGTCAGCGGGACCACCCACGGACGAGAGCGAGCCCTCGGAGCTGAGGCACGTCACCTGACACACGACACACGAGACCGGGGTCAGCGGGACCACCCACGGACGAGAGCGAGCCCTCGGAGCTGAGGCACGTCACCTGACACACGACACACGAGGGTCTGGAGCACCTCCAGCCTGGCGTCCCCCCCGCGCCATCCTGGGTAACCCACCGCACAATCGGAGGAGCTCACCTGCATTTCGGCCTCGAAGTACTTGGACAGCTCCTTCTCTGGGAGCACCTTCCACTGGCCGCCGACCGGTCGCACGCCTCCAAACTGGCACCTGTAGCGGAGCGGCGCGGTCAGGCACGGTCGGGTCACGTAAGATCGCGGCAACGACGGTGGCCAGACCCCCGCCACGCTTGCCGCGGCGTCGGACAGACGGCCCGCCGGCGACGCGATCGTTGCTGACGTGAAGAGCGAGTCCGAGAGACCCGGCGAGGCAGTTGTGGACGCGTGTCCGTCGACGGGACCGGGGCCGCGCGGTCGTCGCCGGGCCGCGCGGTCCGACCGAAGACCGGCGCCGCCGGCGGCCGCGCGTCATCACCTGAAGGCGCGGCACGGCAGCCGGCAGTGTTCCTCCTTGAGTCGCTTCACCAGCTGGCCGTCCAGCGAGGCCGTGTTGCCGTAGTCGACGAAGTGCACGGTGATGTCGGCGCGCGCGCTCGCCTTCACCACGCCCCGGTACCATGCGCCGTCCGTAAAGCTGGCGGCAGGAGGCGCGCCGCCGCGTCACGTGACGGCGTCACGTCAGAGATCGGTGTCGCGTCTGGACACGGCCACAGGTCGCAGCAGGATCTGACCACGCGAGCGCGTGGTCATTTTGTCAACGTGGGATGCAGTGAACCCGGCAGGGGGGTAACACTGAATAGCGAACACGGTGCAACCACATGACTGCCCAAATGACACCCGCGTCGCGTGAGCCGTGTACAAACGGGTCCTGGAAGCAGCCAGAAGCCTCCATGATGATCCCATTCACACCATATTCCCATCACACATCGGGTAAGTGCATGTCCTAGAGCTAACGCCAACCGCCGGCCAGTTTCCCGATCCTGCATCACCCGTGTGTAGCCCGGTGAGGCTCTCACCCCGGCGCGGCGCGGCATCACGCTCACCGGGCGGCCACGGGTCTGCCGACTGTCGGGCTGGTCTCGACCCCGTCCTGGCGGCGCAGCCCGCCGTAGAAGCTCTGCATCTCGTTCATGAGCCGGCTGAACTCGGCGCCGCCCTCCAGCGGCTGCACGAAGAACTCGTGCAGGCCACAAACCCAGGTGGGCGTGACGCGGAGCGGACCGCCGGCCGGCAGCGGCGCCGGCTCCAGCCGCGCCCCGTGCTCCGGGATGGTGACGGCCGGCCGCGCCTGGGCCGGAGCCGCAGTCGGCCCCGGCCGCGACGGCCGCCCTGCCGCCGGCGTGTCCCAGCCGCCGGCACGCTCCAGTCCCCGCGGACGGCCGCCGCTAGCTCCTGCTCCGCCGCCGCCGGCAGCGCCGCCGGCGCCCCGCCAGTCGGCACCGCCTTTCCGGCTGCCAGCCGCTACTACTGGTGCTGGTGCTGGTGCTGGCGCTGCTGCTGCTGCTGCTGCCCGGCCAGTCGGCGCCACCGCCTCTGTGGCCACCGCCCCCGCCACGGCTGCCGCTGCCGCCGCCGCCACCGCCACCGCCCCGCCCGCCACCGCCACCGCCACCGCCGCCGCCGCCGCCACCGGCGCCGCCAGGCCAGCCGCCGCCACCGCCGCTGCCCGGCCAGCTGCCGCCACCGCCGCCGCCGCCGCCACCGCCACCGCCACCGCCACCGCCACCGCCACCGCCACCGCCACCGCCACCGCCACCGCCGCCGCCGCCACTGCCGCTGCCCGGCCAGCCGCCGTCGCCACTTCTACCTCCATCGCCACCGCCACCTCTACCTCCGTCGCCTCCGCCACCAGCCGCTCTGCCGCCACCACTGCCCGGCCAGTCAGCCGCGGAGTCGTCGCCGCGCCGGTCGTGCGTGTTCCAGCCGACCTCGGCCCGCTCGCGCGGCGGCCGCGAGTACGCCTCGGGCTGGTCCATGCGCATCTTGCCGGCGAACCTGTCGCCGCCGGAGCGCGCATGCGCGGCCGGCGGCGACGTCGGCTGGCCGGCCGGCCGCTCCCTCCAGTTCATGTCCTGCGGCAACCGCACGCGCCACGTCAGCCGCCGCGCGACCAGCACGGACCACAGCGCGGGCACCGGGCGGCGGGCGGTGCTGTAGCCGCGCCCACCTGGCGCGAACGGACTGCGGCTCAAGTCGCCGCTGTGCACGACACGTCTGTGGTTGCGACCGGTGACCTCAACGAATGGCCTGTATGAAATGGCCCATAGAAAAAAACTTCAGCTAAATACGTGCAAAGCTGTGGCATATTCTCCGGATTCTACGTCTTAGTCCAGACTTCAGGTTTGCATTGCAACTCTGCCGTACCGCAGTAGCACATACGGTCACAGGCACTCTTCTACGCCACGCCAGCACCTACGGCCGTGGCGCCACAGCGAGACATTACAAATGGC